TTTACCTTTCAGTTTACATTTAAATAGGTTGGCCTGCCAATTTCATACTGCCTGTATATATTTCTTACACTTCTCTACGTGTTTACTTCAGTTCACTGCGCCCTCTCTCCTGCTCTTCAGAGGGGAGTGTCCTCAGTGCGAGGGGTATACAGGGGCCGTTTCTCAATGTCGAGTAAACCTGCTGCAGAGCCACTATTTCAAGTATACTACGTCATGGAGTGGCGCCGAATGCTGGGCATTTAACATGCATTTAAACAGTCTTTCGGTGCCACTCGATGACGTAGTATACTTGAAATAGTGGCTCTGCAGCAGGTTTACTCGACATTGAGAAACGGCCGCAGTCTCTTTAACCATGCTATATGGGTGTGACTTTTTTCTGTCAACACCATTCATATCTATACAGAGAGTTAGTTCATTATTATATTGTTTCCTTGAGCTTATAGTGGTTCATCTACCCTCCTAATGTTCCACAATGATGCATTTAACTACAAAATGAACTAGGGATGTCCCGATCACCTTTTTTTGCTCCCGATCCGATTCCGATCATTTGATTTTGACAATCTGCCGATACCGATTTTTCCCGATCCGATCTTTATGCAATGCATTAAGAGAAAAAAAAGGTAACATAACGGCTGGTCATCCAACGCGATGAATTCAGCTATCTTGGCTGTTATTTTTTTGGCCTTTTCACTGTTCTGGGGCAGTTTCTCTTTCCTTTTAAAAGTCTCTGAAAGTGTCGGTTGTTTCAGTGCCGTTACCCGAGTGGCCGCTGTGTACTCGTTGTGTTGTTGTTGGTGTTTGTTTCTCAGGTGGCGTATTAGATTGGTCGTGTTGAACGTAGCTCTGTTCTTTCCACCACGCGGAACCTCCGCCTTGCAAACATTGCATCTGGCTGTTACACTGCCTTCGCTTTCAATTTTATAATACTTCCAAACTCCTGACATTTTCTCTGTCCTGACTCCCGAGTCACCAGCTGAACGTAGCCTCTCGTTAGCTTACTGCTACTATTAGACACTGCGCCCTGCCCACTCTGTTGCCAGATTTGAGAGAAATAAGCAACCAGGTCTATGAAAACAAGCCCAAAAGAAGCAACACATACATGATGTTGTGTAATTTTAAACCAAAACTAAGGCCTCAGGATGACTTTAAGACGTGAACATGGTCATTTTTGTTTTGTAACATAAAATAAAAAAAATATATTTTATAAAAGAAATTCTCCCGATTCCGATTTTTTGAAAATCACGTGATCGGCTCCGATCCCCGATCACGTGATTGGATCGGGACATCTCTAAAATGAACCAAGCATAGGGAAAATTACACGTTTTTTTTCTTCCTGCACATTACATGGCAACACGTTTTCTTAATAATATCATAATATTATATAAATAACAATATGATAATGTTATAGCATAGTAGATTATGTAATACTGTACAAATTGAAAATGTAATCCTAATAGTTAGCCGTGTCAGTTAATATGTCTTCGTATGATCTAATGGTACTTCCTGTTGAAAGAAGGTGTTACCTGGTCCTGTGACAGGCTGTCAGCTGCCATGTTCTTTAGTCAAATACAGACCAAAAGATACACTGACAGTGGGAGCATGCAGCCAGGCAGCAGAGCTGATCCTCCCTAGGCTAACAGGTTGAATGGCAAGGGAAGTGGGCGTTTTGAGAGGGAAGGCCCTGCAGGTACCTGACAGCAGTCAGGAAAACTTGTTTGGCAGCTTCGCTTGTTACGGCTGTGGAATATGTTCTGCTAAACATAGAGGTAGGAGCAATTGGTTTGAAGTCTCTCTCAAAAACGCACGCACACACACACACACACACACTCCGGAACCACAGGAAGCCAGGCCGATACAGATCCACTATGTCCAAATTCTGTTGACCTTTTCTTCGTATTTTGTTGTATTCTTCTTATCGCCATGCATGCAGACCTTAATGCAATCCCTTTTGCCCTGCCTGTGAACCCCTCGAGACTCCGGCAAGAGTCACATCATCAGTATCAGCTGCTATAGAGTGCTACGAGTAATAGACTTTAAAGCATAGTCTCCCCTGCATACATATAAACTGCTATAACTGAAACGTATGAATAGTACGCAGACGAGACTGCAGAGGTGACCCGCAGATGCCCCTCATTACTGTATTCAGTTATGCGAGAGAAGAGGCCAATATGGATCAACATGCACTGTTCTTCTAGAAAACAACCCATTTTCACTCTAATGAAGTCTACTGACAGTCCCCCCCCCCCCCCCCCCCCCCCCCCCCCCCCCCCACCCCCCGAGAGTTGAAATGGAGAAAGCATGCTAATACAGTGTGCTGCTGTGGCACTGAGCGCGTTGGTTCTGCCATGAATTGTGAATACCTGTAATGCGGTTTGGTTTACCGTGGAGCCTCGTTGATCATTGTGCTTGGTTCTATATTGGTAAAGGGTTTGGCAGTGGCCATGTCAAACTCATTAGCCTTTAATCACTTATAACCATTAAGGGTTTGTCAGGGTTACATTTCAATCCCTCCATCTCTAAATGGTTGAGAGATGTTGACAAATACACCCCGTTCTAACCTTCTGTTCCGATTATTTTCCACTCCTGAATAATAGCGTGATGGGCGACTTTTAAAGGCACAGAGTAGTCTTGTTATATCCCAATCGCAGCAGAAAACACACACTCATTACATGTACATGCAGACTCGCGTCCATAAAAGCATCTTGGTTTCTCAGTTTCTTCTTTTCATTCCTGCTGCATGTAGAGACAAACGTGTAATTTGTTGATCAGCTCCTGTGTATTTGTTTCTCCAGTCTTGACATCCTTCTTTGTTGTTTCATTGTAAATACAGTGGATTATATACATGTTCGTAGATGTGTTTGTTAAACACAAATGCAATCACACGCAAGGTAATCTTGGGGTTTGCTCACTGAAATTTGAATACATTAATTTGCATAAGACCTGATTTTTTTTTTTTTCTTCTTTCATTTAAATCGGAAAAATAGAAAACACCAGTAGTCCAGTGTATGTATGCTGCAGGATTTTCTCCCGGTGTAGCAGTTTGTTTTAAGTGAATGAATCGTTTCCTTGTTCTTGCCGACTTCTGATCACTTCCCTTGGAGAAATGTTTTCTAACTTCAAAGCCTGGGCTGAAGTGGTGCCACTGATTCAGTCTGCAGCTGTCAGAGCAAACTATAAAAATGAGGCTTTTGTAAAAAAATATTTCTAATAATTTGTGCTCATTTAAAGGTAGGGTAGGCAAGAGTGGAGAAACCAGCTTGAGTGCGCTAGAATTTGAAAGTAAGCAACCGGAAAAAATCTGCCCCTTCCTTCAGACTTCCTTACAGAGCCTCTCCTCCAACACACACGAACGCGCACATGACCAATGAGGGCACGAGATAAGTTTGTGCACAGATGGAAGGCTGACAGGCAGGTAGGCCATCCAGTTATTTTAGCCGGGCCGGCTCAGATGATTGGTCGTGCTTTTTACAGCGCCACGGCTTCCACAGATGACATTTTTTTATGTATTTATTGTCAAAGCATTTAATATATTCATTGCTATCGGGATGTTAAGAGCATTCCATGGAATATAACAAACAGTGTTTCTGAAGTGAATGACCTACCCTACATTTAAAGTTGGTATGATGAAGATCTGAAAGACATTTCATATTGTGTTTGTATGAAGATTTATTTGTTTCCTTTTTCAAACATTTTGACAATTCTGCTTATAACAAAAAGGGTCTGTTTGTCTAACCATTGTCCAATTTCCGACTTTAGAAAGTATTTTGCTTCGGTGTGAAAGTTCCTCAAACTACTTTCGCAACACCATACTCCTTAGAGACTAAATCCAAGGTTATTTAATAATTCACAGTAGCACTATATTAGTTGTAAAATGGATTTATGTTGGTACAGGTGGTCCTTCTTTGTCTGCTCTTTCAAAAATAATCTCATTCACTGCCATCATTTTCCTGAGTCCATTTCAAAGGAAGCAGAATCAATTTCAAGGTGTGGTGCGCCACTTGATGCTATTGCCATATTTTAGGTTTTGTGTTTGTCTCCACATAAATGTATTTTTCCCACTGTTAAGCACAAAACCCACCTGGGGCAGTTGGCTACTTCATTTAAAAAATAACTAATGCTTGTTGATAAGAGCAGAATATCGACCGTGAAGACTTAAGCACAGTGTGTGATGGAACATTGGATCTTGCTGTATTGATGTAGCATGGTCAAACAGTGGGTAATAAAACAAAATAACAGCATTACAATCATCATTGTCTGTATTATAATGTGCACATGTTCTCCTCATGTCTGTGTCCTCAAATAACTAATGTGTAGCTCAAACAGAGTTACAGTAGGTCAGTTCAAATTGACTTAAGCAACATCATCGTAGTGCAGCGCTGATGTTATTATCATGTTAGTTTAATCTGCGCTGGGTACGGAAATGCTCGCGCTGAAGAATCATTTACACGCCGAGCCATTATTTACCTCGCAATCCTTGTTTCCCCTTTACTTTAATGGCCTTTCTCTCCTTAACGACTCCCCGAAGATTTCCCTGTGAAAACATTTGCATGCACGCACACAAGCTCACACGTGCACTCTATTCTCACACTCCTAGACTTTGTGGTGTGTGCTGCTGTGGAAGGATTGCAACTCTAATGCAGCCTGTGTCTCTCCGTCACATTTAAAAAAAAGCCAATTTCCTTTTTAATAGCAACAACAGCTGGAGCTGACACGGCCTGTGTCTGCTGATGGGGCGAACAGCTCCAGAGCTGTCCTGTAGCTTAGGCCCGGGTGCTTGCCTTATTACAGGGAAAAGGAAAAAGAGCTGGAAAGAAGAAGAAGGAGAAAGGATGTGCACTCCGAGACATGTGTTGGCGTTGTTGGAGACATGTGGAGCCGAAGGGAAATATAGTTAATATTAGAGATGATGGAACACTCGAGATGTGTACCTTTTATATAACTGTGATACCTTTCTCTCACTTACAAGTCACACTTCCTCATTCTGCCCCCCCCCCCTCCAGTGCACCTGGTTGAGTCCCAGGAGATGGCTGAATCTTCAGGAGTACCAGAGCAAGAAGCTGATGCAAGAGAGTGGCGTGGCAGTCCAGCGCTTCTACGTGGCCGACACAGCTTCCGAAGCCCTGGAGGCGGCAAAGAGACTCAGTGAGTAGAGGACACACACACACACACACACACACACACACACACACACACACACACACACACACCACACACACCACACACCACACACCACACACCACACACCACACACCACACACCCACAAATGCCACGCATGTCACCAATGTCCATCAACCACAGAGAAAAGAGCATCCTGCCAGGGTGTTTTCAGAATGCCGTTCCCTTCTCATTAACGTGATATCTCTGAATCGCCCGGAGGGAATTTCTTCTACGTCTGCTCAAGGATGATCTGATTTGAATTTGGTTGACAAAGGTCAAAAAGTCAGCGTGAACTCAAAAACACACTTGTCCATAAATCAAGAATTCAGACCCTAATTAGGGAAATGTTTACTTTTTAATGAGTAAGCGCTGACACTTTGGACACTCGTAGATGTAAACTGCAACTTGACGAGTTGGCGGAGGCATACAACCGCGAGGCTGTAAATCTCGTATGAAATGTTTTTGTGACATCTGAGTTAGGGAGCATATACTTTGAGGCATATTCGAGGATATTCTGTTTTCTTTGAATTCTTTTTGTGTAACAGCAGTTTGATGTCGACAAGCAGTAAGGAAAATACAAAATATTGTAAAACTGCCCAAAAGATGACTCAAAGGAGAAGAAGTGTAGACACATCCTCATTATTTTCTGGTGCTCTTTGCTCCAGCAACACATAACGTTTTTTGAAAAGGAAGTCCTACTTGATTTAGGAGCACAATAACCCTTCCCTGAAGTATTTCAATGTTAAGTATAGATTCTAACACAAGATATTCCTAAAGTGTTGATAATGAGTTAGTTTAAGGGTTACCAAACTGTGGTCTGGTTGGTATTACTGTGTAATTGTACTGCTGCACACTGGGAAACCTTAACCGTCCTATTTGTGCTGCTTGGCTCTGCAGACCTGCTACATGAGGTGCAAATGGCCGTGGTTAATTAGGGTTGAAGTTTTATCAAGTTTAATCTCGTCTTAATGTCGTTTGCTTATGTGTGGGAGGCGGTGTCTTCTGAGCTTAGTGGCTTTGCCTGCTCGGCTTTTCATCACACACTCATCCGCGCTAATTTGTTTCACAACCTCTCGTGTTCAGTTGCTCACGTTTTGCATTTTCTCTTGTTTTATTTCACGTATTATTTTTAATCCTTAGTTACATTTTGGATTATTGCCCCCGCATGCTCACACAAAGCCATGCAGGGAGGTGACTGAAACTCTTAATGTTGTTCTTGTAACACAAATCTTCACAAATAAATGATACCCACATGGACAAAGATAGTTTAACACATTTGTATGCACCCACACATAGCTGTTCTTTTCCTGCTCCTACCTTTCCTGTTCTACTTTCTTCCCACACAAATACAGCCTATATTTTATTTAGCGTCCTCTCCAACTACAGCAGTGGCTTTCTGATGGTGCATTCAGGTTGGTTGTCAGCCAGCGATGTGCCACTCGTGCTGCCTTTGGGCTCCAGCGCCTGGGGCATTGCTTTCTGTGGCCCTGGCTACGATGCAGACGAAGATTAACTGAATAGGAGAAAGAGGACATATATTTTCATGACAGTGCCTATATTGTAGGGGGGAAAATGGAGGAGCAGAAAACTTAAGGTTTGAGAAGAGAACAGATGGCTTAATAAAACTGAAAGGTTTAATAACTTTTAGCTCAGGATTTGTGATGCAAGTCAGATAGCATTTACAGTACATAACATGTATTTGAGCTTTTATGCAAACATACACTTTAATAGCGTAGGCATTCCTAAAAGAGCAATTTTGGGTTGAGTTCTAGCCCAAGGACACTTCGACATGTTGACTGCTGGCGCTGGGAAACAAACACACACACTTCGATTGGTAGACGCCCATTTCTCCCCTGAGCCACAGCGTATAGTTACAACATAGTTATGGGGCTGTCTTATCATGACAACTGAATAGTGGCATCGCAAAAGGAGTTGCATGTGTGGCTTATTGTAAAACATATTTTAAGACATTTCTATATTGAACTGAAAAATACTGTACGTGCAGACGGGAAAGGAAGTTTACACAAATGAGGGCAGGAAGTGATTTATCATTGCAGGTCGTCCACTGTGGTAGAGGTAATTGCACGACTGCAGTTCAGAAATGTTTTATTGGTTTCTTCAACCAATATTTCAAGCTCAGTAGCAGAGAACCTCCACTCTCTCTCGCACTGTATTACTTACCAGAAATTGACAAGACATGTGTTAAATAGTCAAAATCAACAGTTGTGCATTCAAATGACTAAATTCCCAGCTGAATTGGAAACATGCGATAACAGAAAATGTTGCAGCTCTGGCTATAATTTTCAGATGGCTTAGTTAATCTATTCCCACTGCGTAACACAGAGCTACTTCATCCTCTCATCTCCATTTGTGCATTGAGCTTTGGTCAGTGTGTGGTTTTCACACTTTGTGTATCCTGTGACTTTTGCTGGCACACGAATAAAGCGTTCAATAGAGCATCCATTTCATTTATTTTCACACAGTGTCTTTTCTTGCTCTCATATGAATGTGTGTGGGCTGGGGAAAATAATGAATTGCTATTATATGGCCTGATATTGCAATTGGGATACGATTTGCATACTTGAGGGAATGATGATTTTTTAAAACACTATCTACCACGCAACCTTTAAACCTTATATTAAAATGTTCATGGTGTGATTTGTTATTTTTTTTAAATATTTATTTCAACAACTAATGCCTTTTATTGTAGAGAGTGGAAACAGGGAGACAGAGGGGAGAACATCTGCAAATGGACCAAGGATTCGTACCCTGCTCCTCCACTATGGGGACCAAGCAAATTCCATTTCGTAAAGTTTGAAGGCCATGTCTTCTCTTCTCTCTCAAATTACTTTATATGCCTTTACCAAATATACTGTAGCACTTAATGCGATGTTGATATTGCACCCTTCCATATTACGCTTTTGATAACATTTCTACCAATCATTCAGTATTTATGTGTAGAACTCGGGCTCTGTTAGAGAAAGTTGAGAATAAAAGAAAAATGGGGATATCAATCACTGCTTTAGTTAGAATTTAAAATGCAAACTGAAACTGTGAAGCTCGGACTACAAGGGTGAGGGGAGAGGAAGAAAGTGAAGCTAGCCCTGGATGGAGTTGTGGAGGTCACCAAATATGGCAGGGGATATGGACGGTTGGGGTATCTGAGCTGACCAGGAGCGACTCAAATGGATTTCTGTGTGCTGCTGATATCCCGCTGTGAGCCCCTGGTCCCCCGCATACACAATAGAATGAGCCAGTGAAGCATGGGAGCACAGACACAGATGAATGACATGCGTAGAGTAAGCTTGCCCACATGAAACCTACACACACACACACATTAACACACACACCAACCAGTATTCTCCTCTCCGCTACACTCACTTAACCATGAAGTGGTTAAGTTGACAGTTCAATTGCAGCTATGCTATAAAGAAACTCTTCTCCCTCCTCTCGTCTACCGTAGAGTGGTCCAACTCTTCTAAAGTGGACACAGATTGATTTGGTCTATTACCGCTGAGGACAAATAGCTTAAACATCTTTTTTCTTCCCTATCAAAACATAAAAAGAATATCCGACATGGACCATTGATTCCCTTTAACTTGAATGACAACTCAGGGGAGGGTTTACATTGTGGCAGATGGGTGGCTCACAAGCAGCTAATGGCTCATGGAAAGTAGGGCCCCATACTGGGCGAGCCATGCAGGGAGTTATCAGAAAGTCCAAAGTGATTGTAATGTGTGCTCCACTGGGACACTGGAAGAATGGCACTCTAACTCTAGCCGTCTGTCCAAAACCATTGACCCAGATCCATTAGTTTCATAATCTAAGCTTTGTGTGTGGGTGACAGCTAAAGGGTAAACCTGTAGTTTTGAAAATAAACTTTTGGGCTTAGAAATTACATGATATAACTTCATTAGCTAAATATTTGTTGGAAAATGTTTAATATTCTTGTTCTTATTTGGTAAGTTGTCCATTTTTTGGATATATACCATCTTAACATAATGTATGTATCAGTATTTTGGCTGGTCTATAGAGGTAAGACAATGTACTTTGCCCCTCAGCAGTAAGTGGGGAAAGTACTATAGCAACTCTCTCACTGGCAGTATCAATAATTGATGTTTGTAATGCAATGCTATTATGGCATGCTAGAGCACTTCTATTTCCGTGCTTCCTATAATTTCACCTAAAAGAGGTCGGAATAATTATGCTATAAATGTTTGTAACCCAACACCAAATCAAATAAATATTTATTTTCAAGTACCTTTTGTTAGCACATTTCACTCAGGGCGTCATCAGGCGCATGAAACAACCAAGGACTTGAGTAAGAGAGCACTTCAATTAAATAAAAGACCTCAGTTCACACATTAGTATAAAAAGTACCCATAAGTGGTGAGCAAGAAGGTAATGTGGTGGGAAATGGAGCAGAAACCTTTTTTAAATTACAAGGAATTGACAAAAAATTCAAACTTAATGAACTCAAAATGGAAGGATTTTTTAATGGGAGTTTATGAGGTAGACAAACAACCCTGACAATTAGAAATCAAGTTCATATCTTTGAGTATAGATGGGAACATGGGTGAGGTATAGAGCAATGTATTTATAAGAAAAAAAAATATATATCCCTTAACTATTTCCTATAGATTATTGTCAGTTTTTCTCAGTTATAACTGTATTTCATTTTGTTGCCCTGTAACCATTTCCTTTCTGAAAATGCTAAACTTCAAGTAAATTACCTAAAAGGCACATTATCACTATCACTAGTAGTTCAAATAACCCTATTATGGGTATAAGGCAGTGGAGAAGGCTATCTTCTTTGGCAGATCCCCTTCTGTAATCGATAACGGTATATAGCTTCAGAGAATGCACGACTGAATTACCTTTGCACCCGTTTGACACACGGATACACTACATATACACTATATGCAGGTTTTTCACAAGAACCTTGTTGCTATCTAGCAGTTTTGACATATCAAAGCAAGTCCGG